AAGAGATTTTATTAGTATATTCACCCTTCTTATTTTTTTATTTTTTTAAGCAATATTGAATGCCTCTTACTCTTGATTAACAATTATTTAATCTCTTGATTGAAGTCTTAGTTGCTCCACTTGAATTTCTCTTGTTGAAAGAGTGCCGATTACTATACCCATTATATCTAGAATAACAAGACAATGATTTTAAGTTTCTTGATATAGTAGGAATATAGGGAGAATATGAAGATATGAAAATTGAGTTTATGAATTAAATACTCATGTATCTACTAGTATCCACATGGTTTTGGGTAGTAGTATATTTGTTTGAGGAAAGTAAGGTGGAATATTTATATCTTCAAATTCAGGGATTTCTTGAATGCGAGTTGTAGGAGTGAGAATCCAGTAAAATAGATAATCTCCTGCTAAAGATGCTTGTTGATTTAGGCAAATTGAAGCATTTTGAAATGGCATAATTTTTAAATGGAAGCAAGAGGTGGTCAACAAGTGGAATGTTATCATCACTGATAATTGATTGCACTTTGATTCCCTATAAATCTGTAATAATAGGAAAGATTATGGAGAAATAAAAATATTTATATAAGAAATGATCAAATAAACTGATTTTACTTAGTTCTATATATGTACCTGTGGATTTGAAAGCAAAAAACGTCGATATCTTTTGGCATTTAGTGATCTATTTGAGGTGAGGATGTGTGTTGATACAATCACCTGAACTATTGCTATCCAGTTGATGCAAGAAGAATTGATATCAGTGAAATCAAAAGTTCTCAGTGTCATTGATATCTGGTAGAATAAAATAGTTTACATAGAAATATTGTTAAATATCAATTATGGAGTTAAAAGAATACTACCTTTATTTACAAGATTCAACCTTAAAATTTTTTTATTTGAGTAAAGATCTTTCTCGTGAAGTTCTAATATGGAATACAAACTAAATTGAGTTTGAAGACAAATATGAGGAAACTAAAATCATTACTAATAGTAATTTTATCCTTCTTTTGAGTCTAAATTAAAACCAAGTAGTATCCAAATTCGACAAAATATATATAAAACAGTACTAAAACTAAGAGGTAAACCAAAAGGAGGGTAAATACTAAAACAAGGTAAGTTAATAAAAATATTAAAAGTCAAAAACTTGGTAACAAACTCTAGTGAAGGTTCAATTATGGAGATTGCATAAAAACGGAAAAATTTCATACATACGAGACAAAGTCAGTAAAAAAAATCAAAAAGTGGAATGCTAAGTTATAAATTTTTGAGTTTCTCAAAATTATGAAGAGAATCCTTCAAATAGTTATTTTATAGGTAGTATTGAAAAATGATACATAACAAATATAAAAAGGATTTTTAAATAGAATAGTCATGACAATGTAGAAAAAAAACTGAACTCCAAAAATGAAAAATTTTAGTGTATTTCATTTTTTTTTATGTCATGAGTATAAGTAATTGAGTATTCTACATGTTTTTTTCCAATTTGATGGTATCCTTTGTACACATTAAGAAAAACAAACACCTTGAACCCTAATGTAGAGTCCACTAGGCTATCAATTCTAGGTAGAGGATAGAAGTCTTTGTGACTTACTTTGTTGAGATCTATGAAGTGGACGTGCATCTTCAAGGTGGCATCTAGCTTTTTCACCAATACTATGCTAGTGAACCAGGTTGGATATAGTTCGTCTTTGATGATATCTGCATCAAGAAGCTTATCGACCCCTTGTTGATGACCTCTCCCTCAGGTCCAAAATCTCTTTTCTTTTGTTTGATTGGTTTGAGATTTTTATCCACGTTGAGCTTACGAATCATTATTTTCTCTCAAAATTCTTTTTATATCCTTTGCAGTCCAAGAACATACATCTCTATACTTAATCAAAAGCTGATATAAACAGTTTTTTACCTCATCAGGTAGGCTATTGCCTAGTCTCACTGTTTTGTTTGGTTTTTTGGCCATAAGACTTTTTCCTTGACCTCTTTCTCGAAGCTCAGCTTCTTTGAGTCCATTTCTTGAGACTCAAGCTTTTCAACTACTAATGTCTCTATCGTAGCTACTATTTTTCCTTTCAAATTAGCAAAATAAAATTGTCAAACTATTATCATGTTTCTATTTACCACTACAGTTTCGACAGAAATTGGGAACTTCAAACATAGATAGCATGTTGGGATCGTAGCTCATACTGCATTTAGGGTCAATCTTTCCATAATAGCATTGTAGGCAGAAGGTATGTTCACCAACACGAACGTTATGGGTACTATCAAACTTCTAGGGGCCTACCCCATTGTACCTTGCATGGATATGGCTTTCTCTTGCTTGAACTGATTCTCTATTGAACCCAATCAATAGAGTTCATACTAGGATGAGCTAACTTGCTTGGACATAGTTTCTAAAATGCCTTTGAAAAGAGTATATCTACCAAGCTTTCACAATCAATGAGCACTTTATTTACTCTGTAATTGTTGGTGAGCATGTGAATGACTAAGGCTTCATGGCATTTTAGTAACATTGGGATGGGATCTTTGGGGTTTAAAAATGATCTCCTCACACATCGTAAGCCTCATCTGCTCTCCAAGCTCTCGGCCTGCCTAACTGCAAAGAGATGCACTTAGAGCCAAAACACTGTCTCCATCAATAGGAACTTCTACAGTTGTGGGCAATGATCTTGTAGAATGGTGGGCAAGCCCCAAGAGAATTTTTTTTTATTATACTTTCCAAGTTAGCCACGTCATCTATCTGCTGGACTTGGTTATCAAGTCCATATTATCCTTCACAATTGGTGTGGTATCCTACTTGATCAAGTCGATATCATCCACAACCTACATGATAATCTCTTTGGTAACTTGCATCCCTAGCTTGTTGTACAAATTGCTTCAAATTTCCCTACTTGATTTGAAATTTAATCTCCCTCTTGAGATCGTTGCAATCATTAGTAAGATAGGTCATATCCCTATAAAAAGCACAATACAAGCTCTTATTTAACTTTTCTATAGGTCTTATCATATGATTAGGTTTTCTGAGAATTCCTTCATTCTCGATGCTAAGATCTGCAACTTGCTAGTTGTGAGAAAGGTAAGATCATTGTCCTGCAACTTTTTTCCCTTCCCCAATCAGTCAAATCCAAACTTTTTGCTACCATTGGTATCAATTTTCCCCTTTTGTGATTGCTCTTTCTTTCACTTGTCATCATGTGCTCTTTCCAAATCTCTCTTCGACCTATTAGCTTCCTCAATCTTTGCATGGTCATGAACTCAATGGAGCATTTCTTGCACGATAAGGGTAGGTCACCTAGCAAACTTGGTGTAAAGCTCTCTCGACTGCAATCCATGATGCATAAATAAAGCCATTATTTTTTTCGTCTCTGCCCATGACCTCGATTCTTTCATATTTGAACTTTTGGATATGCAAGAAAAGGCCCCCCAAGTCTTTGTGCGAAGAGATCGTGATACCACAACCTTGCATTCCCTATCAACGTAGTTACATCTGAGGAATTCTACAATTGCATGCAAGTTACAAATTGACTCATATGCATATTAGGATCACTAGTGGCATCATACATCTCAAGGTGAGGTAATGTGAGCCCCAGAGGAAGTGGATACTTCTGGATCTCTTTAGTGAATGAATTTTTGTTGAGGTAATACAAGCTTCCTGAGCTTCCCAAGACCTGATCATCCTCATCTTCAATGATTGGTACCACTTTCAAATTGGGTTATTTAGCTCAAGCGACAAATCCAATATATGATGATATGGTCTCACGAATCCTAATTTAGCTCTGTATCGCTTCAATGATATATTTTCTGGGCTAGATTCTTCATCTGAGCTTTCATCCGGATGTAGGGGAGAATACATTGGCTTTTTGTTGTCCCTTGTGTCCTTCTTGGGCATTTGTTACTACTATTGTTCCTATCATTGTACCAGTTTCTAGATGAGATGAAAATTCTAGGCCAAAAAATAACTCATTTCTACCGATGATGGAAGTTGCTGACTTTCTTCTTGTATTTTTATCTCCAACTGAGTCTACATGAAGTTGTCTACTCCTTTATCCTTATTTCCGGTGGGAGGAGAACTAGTTGAGCCTTGGTGTCTTTTGGATTGCTTCATTTTCCACATTGCAAATTATTAGTTAAAGTTAACAAGAGAAATTCAACTGGGAAAGAATGTATGTGGCTTCCTATAGATAGTGCCAATTTTAGATGTTGAGAAGTGGGAGAAAATGGAAGTCACGGTTCCAAAAGAAAGGCCTCTTGAAGATCACTTATTTGCTTCGCTGATTTCTAAATCTATAAAGAAAATGACAAGGCTAATTCCCCGTAACAAGCTTTGATGCTTAAATCAGTATGGAGTATTGAAAATAATTAAAGATGGAATAGTAAAGATGGAGAGAGTAAAAATTGTCACTAGCCCTCGCTTTATTGCTTGATCTTGCCTTTATACTAGCTCCTTGATAGGTAAGTTGGGTAGATCCATTACTAGTGAATAGTGCCTCATGCAGACACAAGACCTCGAACTCGAGATCATTTGCTGAGGTGTCACATTTAGCCTTCCTCAACACCTATATCCTCTCTTGACAAGTGTCATAACTTTTTAACGAAAATTGACAAGTAAACCCTTGTCAACCCCAAGAACCAGTTTAAGGACACTTGTCCTTACCCTTCTTCAATATCCATTCTAGTTTATCCTACAACTAGGAACTGTCTAATTGAGATATGAACTACACTCTTGTGAAAAGTTTCGGTGAATAGAATAACTGTACTTTAGATTTTTAAGAACCATGTAAGTAGTCTGATACCTCGTTCTTTGATTTAGTTAAAGTAGGAAAAGATTGAGTTCTATGATGAAAAGTGACTATTTAGCTAGAAATAGCCTATTCGAGTAATTTGGAATTTCTAAATAGAAATCAAACGTAGTTTTATTCAAGTAACTTCACATACCTAATATACATGTAAAAATCAATATTCTTAAAATCTGACTTTCCAATCAATATTTGCCTAACATTTGATTGCAATCATACATTCATATGAATAGAGGATAGGATCCTTGCCATGTGCAGCAATTTAGACGTTTGTTCCAATAAAGCCATGAGGAAATCTTGATAATCCCCTGAAGTGTCACCAATAACTGCACTATCAAGACTGGTTTTGTTGGTGTTGAAATATTCTCCCTTAACTTTCATCATATCTATCTCTGCTCGAGTTACTATCACCCTAGTCAGAGAATCCTCATCAGTCCCAAGCCCAACAATGGAAGCTCTAATCACCTGAAATTTTCAAATCAAAATATGGGATTGCAAATAGAAAATAGAAAAATAGAAATAGAAAAACCATGTAGATTATCAAGTATTCAGTAGTATCATTTATTTTTTATAGTCCCACAAAAAGTTTTACTAATTTATAAATGGGTTAAATGCACTAAACCCTCACCAAACTTTATCCTTAATTGCATTTTAACTCTCTCAACTCAATAAATAGGCATTTTGCCCCCTATTTTATATTTTAGGACAAAAGTACCTCTTCCATATTAATTATTATTTTATTTATTTTTTCTTTTTTGCCCTTTTCTAATTTTCCTTTTCATGTTTTTAAAATTTGTCTCCTTCTCTTATGTGATCAACTAGTTTTTCTCTTTGCTACTATTATCCATATATTAATTTTAATCTTCTTACACTTATCTTTTATTTATTTCTATCCTTTTTAGTTTTTTGTTATTGAAAATAATAATTATCATAAAGTCTATACTATAATAAAATATATATTATCTATACGCATAAATTATTTCATATATTATTTAAATCAGCATATTTAGAGCTTAAAATAAATTAATTTTTAATAACAATAGCAACAAATTTGAATTGTAATAACATAGTGGTCAATCAACTATGCACTTATGTTAATATTTTTTGAAATAGTCAAATTGCTAAAATATACACTTTTTTATTATGATAGACATATATTAATTTTTTATGCTATTTAATTTGTCTTGAATTTTCTAATAGTGTAATTAAATAAAAAATGAATAAAATTATAAGTAAAAGATAATTACAATATTATAATAAACATACAAATTAGTAATACTAGTAGGTAAGTGAAATAAAATAGTGACATAAGAGAAGTGAAAAATAAAAGAAAATAGTAAACGAAAAAATAAAAGAAAGTAATGAATAAAAAAAGAAATAAAATAAAATACCAAGGGCACTTTTGTCTTAAAATGTTAAATAGGGAGACAAAGTGCTTATTTAATAAGTTCAGAGGGTAAAGCGCAACTAAGGATAAAGTTTAGGAGGGTTTAGTACATTAGGATGTGAGAATGAAGCACACAGTACCAGTTAAATTGCCTACAATCTACATTGCCAAGCAGGACTAACTTGTCCAATTTAGTCATCAATCGAATGACACTGGCTTTTGGGTTGAATATTTCCAAGAGCAAATTACCTTAAGATGGACGGAGTGTAAAAATGAAACTCCACAAACTCAACATTCTGCCGAGTCTTATAATCTGTCTAGTAGGGAACTAAGTGGAATTGTATCAGAAACAATGCTGCCAGCTCATTTGAGTTTTGTGTTACCTCTGCAAAGTGCTTTTCAGGGGCGTCAATGCACCAAATGGCCACCTTCAAAATGGATTCCAAATTTCCTTTGCGACAATTCAAAATGTCCTGACAGAGTGTTCTGGAAAGTTAGGAAGCAAAATACTAGGAGGTGTTTGTCAAATAATTAGCTTCTTTTAGTCAGAACTGAACCTCATCTATGGAATTTCCATAGTTTTTCTTGTGATGCAGGAAAGTTTCTTTCAGCTGGAAAACATTTCTGGTGCTAAGGATGGACAGAAAATCATCGTGATCTAATTTCTTCGTCTTGATAACTTCATGTAGCTTGGCAGCTTCAGAATTGGCAATAGCAGAATCAACTACTTTCTTGTCATATCTATAGGAACTGACTAAACTAACCAAAACCTGACGAAATATGCATCTATTAGTTATAACTTCTGAAACACCATATTCCAGAATAACAAAATATTTCTGAGAGCTAGAAATGGATGAATATTGAGCTATCAAAATCTAGGCTGTAAGCATTCTGAAACGCATTACAAAAAGTCTTAAAGTTGAGGAAAACCAATAACAAAAAGCCAACTCTAAGAAAATGAAAAGATTCAACTGGGAAAAAATCAACAAAAATTTGCCAAAATGCATTCATGATCAGTTAAAAGGACAACAGAACTATGTTTAGTTACACGGATATTATATGAGGGCTTAAATTTACCTTTTGGAGAGACATTGGAACATTTGATATGATGTCTTCTTCAAGTGAACTGTCGCATAGAATTGAATATGCTTGTCTTACAGCAATCAAATGGTGAGGAGATGATGCACATGCTATCTCAACAATTACTTGCAGTTCATTGACACCTTTCCTCCTGGAATTCAAGGCTTCATTTGCCAGCCTTGCATCTCTTTCAGGAGGATCATAAATCCACAGGATAACAGCTTTCTGTCACTTGATATTATAATCATTAGTTAGATAGTTTCCATGTCAGGCAATTAAACTAAGTGTTGAGTTTCTTGAACTTAAATTGAACTAATCAGTACCTGACTTCCTACCGGAAATACCAACTAAATTAGCAATGTTTAGTACTAATTCATAAAAAGTGTAGAAAAGTCTGAGTTATCCCTTTAGGGACTGAAAATCTTATTATCACCAACAATTAAAAGGAAATTCTGAAAGTTACCCTGAAGTCACCGGACAATTCAGCATTAAGATCATCAATGAGGCACTTATTGTAAAGCTGCTGATAAGTTTCTCCGATTATCCTCCTCTGACTTGCATTTCTATGTCCCAACACCTTTATGACTGCCTTTTCGTCGGTTCCCAGGCCTAACCATGAATCCAGAATACATGAATAGCACAAAACTACATTCAAACATGTAGTAGTACCAGGAGGTGTTTGTACTACTATATGCAAAAGAGAAACGAAAAGAAAACAAAAGCCACAGAATTTAGATTAAGAAGAAACAGAACAAAAATTGAAAATGAAGAGATTGAATGGACCTTGGAAGGCTTTTCTGAGTCTTTCACAGTCTTGCCTTGGAGAAGGAACAACATCCGGAAGTTATTGGAGATTGCAGAATATTGTGTGTATATTTTGTGCATATATTTGGGCTGTAATTGCGTAAAGATAGGAGCTCTGTTTTTGGTAGTTATTCTTTGGTAATTGTTTTGGTAGTCGAGATAGAGTAGGAATTGATTTCCTTTTTGTAGTTACGGTAGAATTAGGAACCATTACCTTTTTCGATTTTGGCTTTGCTTTGTATATATTTTGGGGCCTGAGGGTCATGAAAGGATGGGAAGACTTTTTCCACAATTTCTTTTCATGGTACCAGAGCCATGAACGACGACACGAAGAAACAGAATGGTGAAGGAAGAAAATTTGTCGCACCATACATCTTGACGGCGAACGACAATCCTGGGAATATTATCACCCAGGTACAATTGAAAGGGGACAACTACGATGAATGGGTTCGAGCAGTGCGAACCGCGTTGAGAGCCAAGAAGAAGTGTGGCTTTATTGATGGAACGGTGAAGCAACCCGATGAGGATTCTCCCGATCTGGAGGATTGGTGGACTGTGAATTCAATGGTGGTATCATGGATTCTCAATACCATAGAACCAACTCTACGATCTACCATAACTTATATGGAGATCGCAAACGATTTGTGGGAAGATATCCGAGAAAGGTTTTCTATTGCTAACGAGCCTCGAGTTCAACAGATCAAAGGGGAACTTGCAGAGTGGAAACAGCGAGGACTTCCAATTGTGACCTACTATGGAAAGTTGAAGCAATTATGGGAAGAACTTGCGAACTATGATCAGATTCCGACATGTCAATGTGGAAGATGCACGTGCAATCTCTCAGTTCAATTTGACAAGAAGCGTGAGGAAGAAAAACTCCACCAATTCTTGTTGGGTTTGGACGACACGATGTATGGAACGATTCGTTCCAACATTCTAAGCACTGAACCGCTGCCTAGCGTCAGCAAGGCATACTCTTTGATATGTCAAGAGGAGCGTGTCCGGAATATGTCAAAAGAAAAGGAGGGACGTGGGGAACCCATGAGCTTTGCTATTCATGCCAACACAGGAGGCAGAAGACCTGGAACTGGGACAAATGATAAGCCAGTTTTATGCTCATACTGCAACCGTGGTGGACATGATGCTGAAAGCTGTTTTCAACTCATCGGATATCTTGATTGGTGGGGTGATCGGCCCAAGGGGATTGGACGCGGATCAGGACGTGGACGCGGGAACCAAAATTCAGGACGCGGACGTGGGAGTGCACCTAGAGCTAACTCTGCTCAGATGGTTAGTCAGTCCTCCTTGTCGGCAGAAGCTGCAAAAGGGGAACATGCAGCGCATGGATTGATGAGTAGCGACCAGTGGGCTGCCTTTTTAAGTTTGCTAAATTCTTGCAAATCGGGTACCAATGAGAAGTTGTCTGGTAAGAATTCTTTGAACTGGATAATTGATTCAGGCGCCTCCCACCATATGACAGGAAGTTTAGCATGTATGACTGATTTGAAAGAATTATTGGGCTGTGCAGTGGGGTTGCCGGATGGCAACCAAACAATGGCCTTAAAAGAAGGGTCGGTTCGTTTGGGTGAATACATAAAGTTGAAAAATGCACTTTATGTCCCAAACTTGAATTGCAATTTAATTTCAGTGTCACAATTGCTTGATGAATTAGATTGTTTTATCCTGTTCACTAAAAAATTATGCGTTATACAGGACCCTGCTTCGAGGATGGTGATTGGAGTGGGTGAACGACGCGAAGGGCTTTACTACCTCAAGTCTATGGCAGAAATCAAGGCATGTAATGCAAATCGTCTAGAAACCATTGACCTGTGGCATAGGAGAATGGGACATCCATCTACAAAAATAGTAGAGTTACTTTCTCAGGTTAATTCTGGTGGTAGTAGTTTAGTTAAAGAAAAACCATGTGATATTTGTTTAAGGGCCAAGCAGACTAGGGCAGCATTTTATTCTAGTGAAAATCAAGCAAATGAAATTTTTGAGATGATTCATTGTGATCTATGGGGACCTTATCGAACTCCTGCTTCATGTGGTGCATCATATTTTTTAACCATTGTTGATGATTGTTCAAGAGCTGTGTGGATTTATTTGTTAATGGTTAAATCTGAAGTGGAACGTGTACTTCGAAATTTCTTTGCTATGATCAAACGTCAGTACAACAAGGATGTGAAAATTGTTAGAAGTGATAATGGCAAGGAATTCACCTGCTTGAAAGATTATTTTGCTGAAAATGGGATGATCCATCAGACTTCATGTGTGGGAACACCTCAGCAAAATGGGCGTGTTGAGAGGAAACATCGTCATATTCTGAATGTAGCTAGAGCACTGCGATTCCAAGCAAATCTTCCCATTAAATTTTGGGGAGAATGTGTGCTGACCGCTGGATATTTAATAAATCGGACTCCATCCAAACTCCTGGGGAATAAGACACCTTACGAATGTTTGTTTGGCAAACCACCCAGTTACAAGCATATTCAAATTTTTGGGTGTCTGTGCTATGCTCGAGACTTGAATCGAGACAAGGATAAATTTGGGAGTAAGAGTCGGCGTTGTTTGTTTGTGGGATATCCTTTTGGTAAGAAGGGATGGAGATTGTATGATCTTGATACCAGTGAACACTTTGTTTCGCGAGATGTGGTATTTTCAGAGAATGAGTTTCCATATGATAGTGCACCAGATGCACCTCGAGGTGTTCCGGGGCTAAATTCTTTTGAAGTCTTTGATCGCACCATAGAGGAAGTGGTTGATAAAAGAGAAGACATTCTGATAGAAGATATTCCAAGTGAAACATCAGAAATCACAAACCGGGTTCACAGTGAAGAGAATAACGAAGAAAGAGAGGGTGCTGGAACTGAAGAGATTGAGGCAGTTGATGAACAACTTGGGCGAGGTCATCGAATAAAGCGCTCATCTAGTCGTCTAAAAGATTATGTGACATATACTGCTAGACGCATAAGCCCTTCTGCATGTTTACCCACACCAATTCCATTCTCAGGTACTCCTTATCCTATAGCGCATTATGTGAATTGTGATAAATTTTCTGTGTCATCGATCATTCTTAGCAGCAGTAACAGCTGGTAAAGAGCCAACCTTTTATGGTGAGGCGGTGAAGGATTCTCGATGGAGACAAGCTATGGCAAGTGAAATTGAGGCGCTTGAAAAGAATGGGACATGGACAGTGGAAGATCTACCACCAGGAAAGAAAGCGATCCGTAGCAAATGGGTGTACAAAATCAAGTATAATTCTGATGGAACAATTGAGCGGTATAAGGCACGATTGGTGATTCTTGGCAATAATCAGGTTGAGGGGATTGACTACAATGAGACGTTCGCTCCTGTTGCAAAAATGGTAACAGTTCGAACTTTCTTGTCTGTGGCAGCAGCGAAGAACTGGGAACTCCACCAAATGGATGTTCACAATGCATTTTTACATGGAGATTTAGCAGAGGAAGTGTATATGAAGATGCCTCCGGGTTTTGCAACTCCCCAACCAGGAAAGGTATGTCGATTGCGAAAGTCTCTTTACGGGTTGCGACAAGCTCCAAGGTGTTGGTTCGCTAAACTCACTAATGCCTTGCAGCGGTATGGCTTTACTCAATCTTATTCTGATTATTCGTTGTTTACTCTGAATCAAAACAACATACAAATATGTATTCTGGTGTATGTTGATGATCTTGTGATTGGGGGAAATAATAGTGCTGCAATTCAGAAATTTAAGAAATATTTATGTCAGTGCTTTCATATGAAAGATTTGGGAGTATTGAAATATTTCTTAGGTATGGAAGTTGCCAGAAATAAGAGTGGCATTTTTCTTTGTCAACGCAAATATGCGTTGGATCTTATTACTGAAGTTGGTTTATTGGGTTCCAAACCAACTAGTTTTCCGATGGAACAGAATCATCGCTTGGCAATGGCGGAGAGCATGCCCTTAACAGACCCAGAAAAGTATAGACGTTTAGTCGAAAGATTGATCTATTTGACACTTACACGACCTGAGTTGTCTTATGGTGTGCATGTTCTTGCTCAGTTTATGCAAAAGCCAAAAGAAGAACATTGGGAAGCAGCTTTGCGCATGGTTCGTTACTTGAAAGGTAGACCTGGGCAAGGTATATTTCTCCGATCAGACTGCAATCTACAGTTGCGCGCATACTGTGATTCTGATTGGGCAAGTTGCCCATTAACTCGTCGCTCACTCACTGAATATTTTGTTTTGCTGGGAAACTCACCCATTTCCTGGAAAACTAAGAAGCAACATACTGTGTCCAGGTCATCTGCTGAAGCGGAATATCGATCTATGGCCACCACGATTTGTGAACTAAAATGGTTGAAAGGGTTGTTGGGTTCTCTAGGGGTAATGCATTCTAGACCTATGAAATTTTATTGTGACAGCCAAGCAGCCATGCATATTGCGGCAAATCCTGTGTTTCATGAACGAACAAAGCATATAGAAGTTGACTGTCATTTTGTGCGCAATGAAGTTCAAAATGGAAATGTAGAAACTACATATGTACGTAGTTCAGAGCAGTTAGCCGACATTTTCACCAAGGCGCTTGGGAAACAACAGTTCGAGTATCTTCTTTACAAGTTGGGCGTTCGAGATCTCCACGCACCAACTTGAGGGGGGGTATTGGAGATTGCAGAATATTGTGTGTATATTTTGTGCATATATTTGGGCTGTAATTGCGTAAAGATAGGAGCTCTGTTTTTGGTAGTTATTCTTTGGTAATTGTTTTGGTAGTCGAGATAGAGTAGGAATTGATTTCCTTTTGGTAGTTACGGTAGAATTAGGAACCATTACCTTTTTCGATTTTGGCTTTGCTTTGTATATATTTTGGGGCCTGAGGGTCATGAAAGGATGGGAAGACTTTTTCCACAATTTCTTTTCAGAAGTCTTAGTGTAGCCATGGACTTTTGCAGAAAAGCATAACCTTTTTCTTCTTTTTTGGTTTTGGGTTTTATGAGAATGGATAAAATCAGTTACAAAAAATGAGTAAGCTATAGTGCCTATAGTAATGATAACGA